AATGGGAGCCCGTAGTTGGTGACTGGGTGATGGGCAGGGTGGAAGTGACTGGGGAATGAGTAGGACGTGGACAATTCCCCCACCAATTAAAGGTGGACAGTAAATTCCCCACAGTTGAACCACACAGGTCCTGCCTCTTATTGTCACCACTACTGGCACTTGTGATGCTGGCTCCAGGCAGAGCCACCGTGAGGGACCTGGTTTCCAGTCCCAGCCAGGTTTGCTCAAACACACAGCGAATTTGTCGTTACGCTTCGTTCAGGGGTTTGGCCCTTTGTGGCAGCTTAATGTCTGTGGATGGCTGTGTTGCTTCCAAGTAATGGAAGAGGGGTCAGAGGGCAGAAATGCTCAGAAAGCCAGAAATGAAGCAGGAATTTCAATTCAGAGCTAATGGATGGGGTTCGGAGGCTTCTATTAGCAGAAATTATCACTGTATTAATGTATTTCAGGCAGCATTTTTTTACAGTTGAATACGGTGTTATTTTCCTAGTTATCCATTCCCTGACAAGTGGTTATAATCAAAGCTGTCTGTGAGCACTATTATCAGAAACTTACTATTATGTGCTGGAGGAAAAAATATCGGGGAACAACGCAGTGCCAGAAAGCTATTATATGTTTTAAAGATCTAGTGCAACACCAAGTGTTTATTTATGTACTACTTGCACTTCCTGTGGAAGAAAATAATTTGAACTTAATTTTCTTGTCTTACCCAACTGCTTTAGAAAATGTACCTCCTGAAGGAAGTCCATAATTATGATTAACACCGTTGGGCCAGATCCTCAGTTACTGTAAATTAGCGTTTCTCCATTCATTGCAATGGAGCAATCCAATGGCCCTGGTGTGCTGCTTTACATCTTTAAGGGTATTAACAAACCTTCTTCAATACAGTATCATACAGAATTTACTCTGGCCAGAATGAACTTTAAAAAGGGATAAATCTAGCATCGTGGTCCTAAAAGTCTTTAAAATTATCTTGCAAGCAAAATTAATCCTTTCTATATATTCTGTTGATGAATTAAATCAACCAAACTGCTATTGCTCTGTCATGTGGTCTGGATTTGTCGAACAACTTTATTTTCTTCTTAAATTTCAGGTTAGCCATATACTTAAAAATATTACTGTAATTCTAGCGTAGCTCTTACTGCTTATTGTGGAGGAAGGGATTTCAGTGAGACAACACAGAAACGAAGTAATTGCCTAAAAATGTTTATATCTATGTAGCTGACTATGAAATATGAAGAAAAACAAAATCACAAACCATAGGGGTTTTGAGGTCAAGGATATGAATAGGCAACAATAATGCTACACTTTTCAATTAATAAATCCTCAGGAAGGCTAAAGATTCATCAGATTAATTTGAGCAACAGAGTAATCAATACATTTTTAAGAACATTCTCTGTTTCAGGCTGGTCTGCCATGATGTCCGTCTAGTTGGCGCTGATGAAAACGATGATGAAAGGCTAAGACTAGCAATGAAAAATTCAGAATTCCTGAGGATACACTGATAGACAGCTCACATCTGAAAACAGGTACTATCCCTGCAACTTGCTCTTTCCAAACCTCCCTTTCTCAGCATCCCCTCTTTTTCATCTTACACCTGGGAATTGAACAAACAAAGTCCAAATAGGTTTTTGGAACAATCCTAAATCAGGGCTACTGTGAAGACAAATGGTAAATGTCTGTTACCCCAGCTGCTAAGTTAATTACTGTAATGGGAAACATCTTGAGAGAAGCATTGCATATGGTTATTAGCAATTAACCCACCACTCCAAAAATCACAATTCCTGCTAATAACAGAACACAGCACAGCCTTCCTAATTACAATCTCCGCACGAAAATTTCTTTCTATCAGAAGGGAATGTTAAATCCTGTAACTAGCTACGATTTAAAAAGACTGGAATTGGAGATATTGAGGATTAGACAGAAAAAAATGAAAATAGGAAAGTGTGATGTGTTACTGGCTCAAAGTTGTGGGCACACTCATTCGTGCTTGGGGATAGGCAACACCTTTCAACGACATCTTTGTGAGAAGACAAAATCATAAATGAAAATTGAAATGTTAATGTGGAGGGAAATATGCTTTAAAATGGAGAGGATAGGAGGGGTCTTCATGGGAGATACCAACTTTTCTACAGAATTCATGATCTGGACAGTGTTGTAAACAATATGCTGAATTTGGGTTGCACTGGAATCTGTTAGAACAATTTTTTGATCACCAGGAGAGGAGAATAATGAAAATTTCCATCCTACAAAAAGTCCTTCAATACTACATGGAGGGCATGAGCTATTTTTTCTAACCATTTGTATTCTATGGAATTGGATCAGATTATCCCTCACCTGCACAAAGCCACCAAGGGGAACCGGCACTTCAGCTGCTCAGTTCAAAAGCTGGTTTAGCAGAGCGAGATGCAATTTAATTTACTCCTTTCATCAATTAGGAAGGGGACTCTTTTGTCAACATGTTCAGTGCTTGGTTTGGTGGTGGCCATGGTGTGGTTTGTAGGTATCAAGATGGAAGACACACGATTGTATAGCAAATAAGTGTTGTGACAGTAGGTATGTCCAGTTGGTCACGACAGGGATATGGAATTTAAAGAAGTCACTAGTGCTGTATCCACTGCCCTTTTTTCCTGACATAGCCCACTGTTACCACCGTATGAACTAGAATAAATGAGTCTTCTTTTACCTCTGTATTATCTGTGTCAGGTCTGAAGATTTAACTGACTTGGGCACAGTCAGATCATTATCCCAGTAGGTTTTTGAAATGGCTTTCACCAACGCCGGTTCCCCGCAACTCTTACTCATGTGAATCGTCCCATTAAAGTCAACAGCTTTGCAGGATATTCTCAATTAAAACACAGCTGAGGATAAAACATTAGGTAATATTTGTAAGAAGGGCACATTGTTCGGGCTGGTTTACATTTCAGTTCAGGAGAATGGCGGTGTCAGAGCTGGTAAAGTGAGGTTTGCAAGGCTTTCTGTGCCGATTGCAAGGAGATTTTACACTGCTCCATCTCCAGAATTCAGCTGCCGCTGCATTTTGCCGCGTGGCCCCCAGGCAAAGGTCTCATCTAGTAAGTGGCCTTCACCGAGTAAGATACCCTGCACTTCAGTACCTCCCAATTTGCCTGTCGCTCTTCCATTATTCTTAACAACTGGGTGTAATAAATGTTGTGTATAATTTGTAATGATCACATACAAGTCTGAAAACCAATGTTGAACAGTTTATTGTTGAGCTTCTTAAGATGGACAAATTAAAATGTTTTTGAAAGCCTAATTTACCTCTTCTGGAAAAAAACAGCTGAGCAATAAGATCATTTGTTATTTTGCCATGATGTGATCCTGAAAATAATCCAGGTTGGGATGACATCTCAGGACATAATGAGCATTCAAACTTGACATAATGAAGGTCTATTATTTTATGAAGAAAGATTTTCTGGGGTTTAAGAAATAAAATGATTAGAAAACTATGTGCTCTGCAGGAGGTAATGAGATTAGCTCAACACAAGGTCCTGCAGAGTTAAAACTACTCCAGACACAAGAAAGGCTTAGCCATTCAATGGGAATTTCAGGGTACAATTAATCTGCTCTAAGGTCAGATAAGGGCTATATGTTTTCTTCACCATGAAAAAGAAATCAGTTGATAAAATCTCAAGGGGATCCTGTCAATGCAAGCTTCAAAGCAATGAACAATATAAAAAAGAGCTTTCTTGTTACGATTCGTAAACGTTTACCTACTTTAGCAAAGGCCTTGGAAAATAAAAACCATACAGGAAACTGTGCTTATAAAGTGTGTGTAAAGGAGAACCCGGTGTATCTTGTTACAGGACTGAAAGGAAGATAAATTAATGCACTGTAAAACTGTGGCTGACCCCTAACCCTGAGGATGTCAGCGTGCCCATGCGGTTCTCTCCGTCACAAATCCATACAGGAGCTAATTTGGAGCAACTTGAGACCAAGCCCATTGTGCTGGGGTGGAAGGAAATCGCAGTTGTCTTGAACGTCGGTTGGCTCCGGGCCCATCTGCTGGTTCACAGCCCAGTGGCTGGTTAGTCACGGGTCTCTAGAGACAGGACAACCCAGGTGTAATGGACCCGGAGTCCTCCATTAGATCATAAAATGCTTAAGGTGTGTTTTCCTCATTTTTTATTTGCTACCACGCACAGTTCCCTTTCCAGGTCAGTTGGTCTCCCTTCTCTCGCCATTAAAGGGGAAAGAGTTGCCTTCTGACAGCAGTGAAGGTCTGGAGAGATCACAAAAAGGAGAGGATGGATGGTCTAGAGGACAGCAGGCAACTCGGGGATTTAAGAAACCACTCCTGGGCTCCCAGCTTTACATTCTTGCTGTCACTAACTCTCAGCAGCAGTGGTGTTATCCCTCCTTCGTGATGTTAAACGCATTTATTTTCACGGTCACCTCTTTGAAGTGCTGGGATGCGATTGCGATGGACGTCACACGCCGAACAAAGAAGGACCTAGAGGGAAAAAGAGAAGCCAAGATCCATCTCTGGCAGCGAAGCGGGGACGGCTCCGCATCCTGGAGCAGGAGGAGGGTGGGCAGGGGGTGCTCAGAGCTGGTAACCCTCAAGAACACGAGCTTGCATGTAACTTCATCCATTATTCAGCGAAAACAAATCCCTCCTTATCTCCACCTCTCTGTCTTGTACCCACCAGCGATTTGGACCGGGAGGAAAGTCCCTTTCAAGGAGGGGATGGGAAGAGACATCGCAAAGGGGAGGCGGTGAGTACAGGGACGGAACCGGGGAGGGGGGAGAACCCAGGAGCGAAGCGCTCTGAGCCCCCGGGCAGGGCGGGGAGCACCCAGGACCCCCGGAGGAGGAGGATGAAGAGGAGGAGGATGATGAAGAGGAGGAGGAGGAAGGCACAGTGGGCGTGTCGTGGGCGTGTCGTCCCCGCCCAGCCCGTGGCGCGCCTGGCCGCCGCTTTAAATGATTTGGAGGGTGGGTGGCGAGCGGGGTTGGTGCTGCCGGTGGTTGCGGTCGCCCTCCACCGCCTCCCCTTCCCTTCTTCTCCCCCCGGTGGGGCGATGGCGGCGGGAGCGGGGCCGGCGTTCCTGTCCCTGGGGCTGTGCTGGGCGCTGGTGGCCCGGGCGAGCGGCGCGGAGGAGCGGGGGCTGCAGCGGGGCATGTGAGTGAGTGAGGGGCTTTGGGGGGGGCTGGCAGCATCGCCCCGGAGCGTTGCCTTTGTCTCCGGCGGGGGCAGGGTGTTGGGGTCCCGGTGGGGTTCCCCAGCTCGGTGTTTGGTGGTGGGTGAACTCCGCGGCACGGAAAGTTTAGCGGGGTGCGCATTTAACTTCCACGAGTTCCCCCCCGCGGCGTGGATTTCTGCTCCGTGGAGTTGTTTTTGAAGGGTTTCTCGGGAGATTTGCAGCCCCCGAGGGAAGGCGGGCGGGTTCTTGTGTGTGTTTGACTTTGATTCGAGCTGTGAAGTGAGGTTCAGAGGGAGCATCAGCATCACCCGGTCTGGTTCTTCCTCCCCGGTTCAAAAAGCGAAGGGGTGGCCGAGCTGAGCTGGTCCCCGCTTTCCGAGGGGTCACGGGGAGCTTCACCTGGGGGGGACCAGCAATAGAGAAAATCAGAGTCTTGAAATGTAAATGCAAGCAGGAGGAATAGAGCCCCCCCGAGGAGGTGAGAGCGGTGGGAAGCATCCCTTCCATCCCTTCCATCCCTTCCATCCCTTCCATCCCTTCCATCCCTTCCATCCCTTCCATCCCTTCCATCCCTTCCATCCCTTCCATCCCTTCCATCCCTTCCATCCCTTCCATCCCTTCCATCCCTTCCATCCCTCGGCAGCTGGAAGCTCAGCTCCTTTGCAGACACAAAGGAGTTAGGGCCGCATGTGGGTGCTTCTGCAGGAGGAAGTTTTCTATGAGGTGTGTTGCCTGGCGTGAGCAACAAATGTCCTTTGTTGTAAGTGCAATGTAGGGTTTTTTGTCAAGAGGTAGTTTTCTGGTCAGTTTTCATAGTGGAATAGCTGACAGCATGCACAAAATCTCTTATGGTTTAAAGTTTTTTGCTCAATGAAATAGAAAATGAAATTTATAGAAACTGCTCCCCGCTTTGTGTTGGGCACCTTTTCTCTGCCAAGCTCCTCTTGTATTTTTCAAGAAATGTGCTGTTTCCCCCTCCCCCCTGGCAACCTGACAACAGCCTTTTCAGATGTCTGTGTATACCCTAATTTCTAACCTCTTTGCTCTTCCTGATTTTTTTAACTTAATCAACTTCATCCCACCCTTGTATAATTAACATCTCTGATATTTGGTTTCAATTTAGTTATATCTTCTGTCACAAAATTGAAATTTCTAAGCCTCTTGCTCACTGCTTTTGTATGCAATATCATGTAACTATGTATTTACTAGAAGTGCTTTTAAGGTGGTTTACATTACTCCATTTTGCTGGAGCACTAAGTATCCATCACAATGTTTAGAGAAGTCAAGTTCATTTTCTGGTGAAGCATTTTTCATTTTTAAAAGCACTCCGTGTTTCTTTCAGCCATGCTTCTTGCTCTCTTTATAAGTAATTACTCTACTATGAGGAAGAATACTCTCGCCCTACATTAATCTATTTGCATTTGTCATATCTGTAATACCTATGATTCTGCATTTTTGAAGCTGGAGGTGGTGTTAACTGTGAATTGCCTCCATACAATTTCTGATTGCTTTTACCTTTTGAAAGATAGCTTCACTGAAAGAATATAGGAAATTTTGCCTTCTGGAAATTAAAGTATATGAGGATATTACTGTTGGGCTGGAGTCATTGGGAGCAGCAAGGCACCAATAGCCAGCAGCAATCAAAGAACACCCACCCAAACCCCCATACCTGTGGCAGAGCCTTGGGTGTTTTTCCCAAGAGGCATATTCCTGCAACTATTATAATTTTTATTGCTTTTCTTGAGCTAAGGTGAGTATAAGTGCTACTCCAAACTTACTTCACACTATTTAGGGTCTTTATCTTTGATGTCAACAGAAATACAAGAAGTCATTACTCCTTAGGAGTGAACCTGCCAGCTTTGCCCAGGCAACAGTGAAATGTCCAAAAGGACACTTTTCATTAATTGCCTTTTTTTAAAAGTAATTCTCTTTTGGTTTTTTTTATTTATTTACATTGGTCATTTTCAGTCAATGGGCTAAGAACAACAACTGTATGTTGTGGAACTTACCATGCCGGGTGTTTCCTTCTGTAGTATTTGCTGTTGTTGTTTTGATTGAGATCTTCTGTGGCTGAGGATATACAGGATATTCCTCCTAATTGTTTTCGTTCTGCTGCTAATTTGAGTATTTGCTGCTAGCTAAAAATGCAAGGGATCTGTGTGGATGTTGGTATTCTGCTTCCAAGCCCCCTGAGGAGATTTAATGTAGAACAGATTATAGGATGACTAGCTATTTCCATCAACTATGTTTCCAGACAATTAGCCCTTGATGATCTTGTATTAGAACTTTAGAGAACACTGGAACGACCAGAGAACAAATGCATGGTTTTCATTGAAAAAGCTTGCTATTTAGGCCTTGAAATGAGGAATTAACCATCTTTTGTCATAAAAAGCACATTTTTTAGCAGCTTGCTTTTCGGGGAACTCTGCAGTTCACAATTGGGGTATGCAATGTCATTGTAGGTGTGATGGGTAGTTATCTAGTGTGGAGTTTGCTTTCAGGAAGGCTGGGGGTGGTTGTGGGACAGGGCAGAAATAGGAATTAAGAGTAGAGGGCTTGAGGTGCTGTCAGAAGTGATAAATCCTCTCCTAGAGAAATATTCCACTACAAGTTTTAGAAGTACAGATGTTTGCTCATGGCTAGCTGTACAGGACGGAGCAGTTATGAGGTATGTGTTAGGAACCCCCTTTGTGCAATAAATATTACCTTTCACAGTTAGGACTGAGAGACGGCTCAGGAATGAATTCGTCTCTTCCCAAGTGATACATGAGTGAGGACTTCTTTGAACAAGTCCTGAGACAAACTTTGTCCCTTGCCAACGTTAAGCCCATTGACTTGCTCTGTGGTTTTGCAGGTTCCAGGATGACATCTAAAGGGTCTGATCTGGGTTTTAGAGGATCCAGTCACCATCTTGCAATAAAACTATTTTCTTTAGGGTTTTTGACTGCTCGAATGTTGCAGCTGCACACTTTTACTCTATCCATAAGCAAGTAAATTTGGTCACATTCCAAGGAACACCTGGATTTAGAGCTGGATTCCTGGTTGAGTAACTGTTTTCCAGCTTCTCCAATTCTATGGGGCACTGCAGGCTTACTTGTACTCCTCCAGATAAATCATATTCCCAAAAGCAAAATCTTGCTTTCAGATGGTATCTACATTTGCAACACTCAAGCAAACTTGGTCCTTTCACTGTATCAGTGATTGGGCTACAGGGATGCAGGACGAGTGTTGCAGCATGTCTCATTGTAAACAGGTGTGGTTGTGGACAATATTTCAATAAATAACAAATTTTAGGCAAGTAGATGCAATTAACAGGGTGAAGTCTGCTCTTTTGAGGACTGGAATGTATTTCAAAATAAAGTACTGGTGTACAAAGCATTTCCATATGAAGAGATGCATCTGAATTTTGATTGTTACAGTAGAATAAATGGCCTGTCATTTTGTATGTTAGAGTGCAGGGCAGAAAACAAAGTAACAAAAGAAAGAAAGCTTCCATAAAGTATATGGTGATAGAGCTTAAACTTGGAGCCTGGAGTTTTGTCAGAATACCGTCCAAATGATGTGAAAAGTAGGTTGTATAATCATTTCTTGGTGAGAAATTGTCTCAGTATATTGCCTGTTCAGCCAATGCACTGTATTTTCACCTCCAGTGGTGCCAATTTGCAGGTGTGAGGAAAGTTTGTATTCTTAGTGTTAAATAAGGGATTGAAGTATGTTTATTTTTTTTTTGAGCTGAAGTGAGTAATGCAGTATAATCTTCTGTTTCTTCGAATGGGATGTCATATCTTCACAGATTTGGTGATTAAAATGATTGCAGATTTTCTGGTGAAAATTCAGATCTGATTTGCCACTGTGGTGTATTTACATTTGTATCTTACATTAAGTGAGATTAGGTTTAGTTTTTCTTTCCTTCTTATCAACTCTCTTTAAACCTTGGTTGATGTGATCCAGTGACGTGGTTGCTGCCAAATTCTGATTTAGACTATTGAATTTTACCTAATTTCTTTTTGAGTAAACCCTCAGTATTCTCAAATGGTAGCTACTGCTGGCCTCTGAGGTTTGGATAATGTGATTTTTAGCAAGCATGATTTAAAGGCTTTTGCATAAGAGTTATGACAGTCTCGTTTTGTTGTCCTGCTGTCCTTTAATATCCAGAAGCTGTTGATAGGAAAGAAAAATACATGTTGAAGACTGAGATGTTTCTCATCTTTGTGAATGTGAACATCACAATGAACAAAAAATAGTCATTCTAGCCTGTGCACTACAGTGTCTTGCCACCAGATAGAGCTCATGCTGGTCAGCATTATAACACAGAATCACATTTTTCAAGAGTTTGCAGCTAAAGCCACTGTTTCAGAGCTTCTAGAGGAAAGTTAATTTTGAATTTAGTCTTTAAGCAGATGGTAAAGGGCTCTTTTTTTTTTTTTTCTCCCCCAGTATATTCGTTGGCAGGAGACTTAAAGATAATGAATGAGTGTCGTCATGCTATAGCTTTTTTCCTGATTTATGACATGTTTTCCTGCTCTTCAGGAGAAAAATGAGATCAGAACTTCCTCCTAAATTCTGACATAGCCATAAGACTATGAAAATGCATGGTCATAAAAGTGATAGCCTGAAGTTGCTGTATATATCAAAGATGAACTTCATCTTGTGATTGACCATGAAATATTTTCCAGTTTTATACATATGTTTTCATATCAGGGATCTCATTTAAAGTACCTGCAAGAGCTTTAGAAATTTGTCCACCATAATCACAATAGCAGAAGTTATTAATACATACTGTGTGAGTCTAAAATCTGCAAGTTTAAGGTAGGTAAGCCCCTGCTCCCATTCATTTTTAATGGGATTTGGCTTCTTAAGTTACTCCTCAAAAATGCACCCTAAGAGGGAAGAACTTGTCAGCGTTTCTTTAGGTTTCACTGTGGTGCATTATGAAATGTTGATGTAGTTCAGTTATTTATGTGTGTTTGTTAAGTGT